TACACCACTGTGAGTGGCTGCAGAGGCCGGGCTGCAGAGGCCGGGCTGCAGGCCTGTCTTCACTGGTGGCGGGCAGCCTCTGATGACTTGATGGCTTCAGCATTCTTTGTTTACTGATACGGTTTGCAGTATTTTTTGTTCACAAGCTGAACAAATCAGTTACCCTATTTGAATCTCCCCTCCCTTGTCGCTGAAGTGGGAATTTCGGTGCCTGCCGGAAGAACCCACAGTAGAGTGCAGATGTATTTGTGGTAGTGCTTTACAAGCAGCGTCTTGTAAAACGAAGCGTTCTACAAATGTTGCTATCATTTTAAGCATCTTTGAGGGCAATTCTAGGGATGGGACCTCAGAAAGTAAGAAGCCTTTGTATGCCGTCTGGTGGAACAAATATTTGGAAATTAAAATTGGAAACAAAGGTGGAGTAGGCCAACCCATCCCAGCATTAAGATGCTGTTGGATGGGTTTACGCGCTGGACAAATGCTTGCTTGGCATCTCATTGCCACAGACTCAGTGAATTAATGCCCACATTTAAATATTTGAACCTTCTCAACATTCTCATTTAACAGGTACTGTTGGTTCTTTTGTGACTAGAAAATCAGCAGTCCAGGGGACATGCTTTCTGGGTGGCTTAGGGGCATGAATCAGAGACTGCCACTGTGATGAAAACTAATTTGAATACCATAAAAAGAGAATATTCAAGAACAGTAAAAATTAATGCAACTGAGAGTAAAGAAATAATGTTCAACATTTAACTTGGTGCCAAATCTGTCGCTTTAGAGTTTCTCCGTATTTTCTTTGCCAGGCAGCAAAGAATAACGTAGGGCTCTGCTGCTCCTTAATCACCTCATCAACGAGGACCAGAGACCAGGGCCCAAGTCACATGCTTTGGATCACAAGAGGGATCTTCCCAGTTGACAGTTGACGGAAGGTGACTTCACACATGAACCTTGATATGGGGCAAGAAACCAAAATGGAACTTTTGTAGACTTATTCTGGTAAAATTAAATGTGGATGTACATACGATCCACATAGGGAGGTAAAGTAAGGAAGGCTTAAAAATGTGGCTCATCTTTGAAACATGAATTCCAAACTATTTTTATTTAACATTTGGTATTATTAAACATGTAGTAGTATCCTGAACATACACCTTCCACCATGTTTCTTTGTATTTTATCAAAAAAATGTGTAGTACGTTAACAGACTGTAGTTTAGCCTTTGTCAAGAGACATGCAAGTATTTAATATTTACATTAAATGAATTGCCTCAGAAGAAATGTTAAATCCATAATATGCTCCTTTAAGAAGTAAAAAATTTCTCTGTAAGGTAAGTTACCATATCGGTATCTTCTGGTATTTTAGATAGGATTAATGTTTTTGGACCTCCATTGGTTTCCGCACTATCATGCAAATTCCTGGCTTGTTTTAACACGATAGTCTAATTTCTATTGGCTACATAATAGGGGAGACACATTTTAAATGCTCTTTTTGAAAATATCACCAGGCAGTCCAGAATACCTCATTTATTGATAATATCGTGACAATCAAGGACCTTAAGATCAGCCAATGATAACAATATGGAATAGGGAAGACTTTAATACTGGAATTATGGGATTGTCATTTTCAGTCCATCTTGAACCATGTGAAAATGTTTTCTTCTCAAGCTACATATTTTCGATAAGCACAGTTAGATATAGTTATCACTACTTGGAGAGAAAAAAAACACCTCTTTTCAGCTCAGAATTCCTCAGGACTAAATGTTAATAGATACACATTTTATATATAATATGTACAGACTTTGTAACCAAGTGCCACGCAAGTAGGGCACGCATATTAGTTACCTTGGTTCTCAAAGGTTATATGTCAACTCTGCATATTACGTGCCAAGGAGATACTATCAACATTATTTTTTGCATAATGTGCAAGTATTATATGGCCACAGAGTGTAATACAAATTAGTGGCAAAGTGCTGAGGGAAGGAAT